AATTAGAAGGAATCAAGCCTTAGTAGGGCTTTAATATTGAAGGCCCTCCTGCTAGAAGCAATTGGGCCTGGCCTTGGCCCAGATGAGGCAGCCTGGTTGAAACTAGGCTCAATGTGCTTTGCTTCTGTTTTCTTTCACTTTTGGGCTCAATTTCGGGCCCAATTATCTTCAGCAATTTTCATCCCTTAAATGGCCTGTTAATATAACAATAACTGGATTTTAACATTAAAGGTTCGTCCTTGAGAAGTTGGGCCTAGTATTGGCCCAATCAAAGCTGCTAAGTCAGACCAGGCCCGCTTGCCCCTTTTGTTCTAATCCCTAGGCTCAATTTCGAGCCTAGTGCCTACCAGCCATGTTTCTCTTAAAAGACTCTTTTAGATAATAAATTGGGCCTACTACTGGCCCGATTCTTCTCAAGTATTTAGAAGCCTAGTTTATGTTCCAATGCACACTTACAAGTAGTAGCTCTTTATATTAAATTCCAAACTTAGTTTAACATGGATATTCGTAGCTTGCTTTAGGCACGATTAATATATTATCGAGATTACGTACACGTTCGCGTGACATAATTACGATCTTAAAAAAAATTGGGGTTTGCGTTCGCGCAACTTCGACTAAACCTCCTTAATAATAATAAAGCATTATTAATTGAGGACACGTACACGTAACATGATTCTTGACGCACCAAACGAAATGAGTACACGTACGCGTGACTTATTTTAGGTTAATTTCTAAATTAAAACAGGTAAAATGCACACAGGTTCTAAAACATGTAATTAGACAAATTAATTAAGCCAGGTATGATTAAAGCGACCATGCTTAAACCACGGAACCGGGGAATGCCTAACACCTTCTCCCGGGTAAACATAATTCCTTACTTGGATTTCTATGTTTCGCGGATCGTAAAACAGAGTCAAACTTCCTCGATTCGGGATTTTAAATCGGTGACTTGGGACACCATAAATTATCCCAAGTGGCGACTCTGAATTTGATAAATAATCTCGTTTTGATTGTCACTTAAATTTGAAAAACTCCCTTATACCCCTTTTCGGGTAGAAAAATGAGGTGTGACAGCTCTGGCGACTCTGCTGGGGAACAAGAACCCAGAATCTCTGGTTCAGGGTTCAAGAATTCGAGATTTTAATATGATTTTTACTTGGCTTTATTTATTGTTAATATTATTGTATTTTGTGAACCTAATGTGCTAATTGCTGTTTATTTACCATTTTGATATTATTTGAGCTGTAGTAAAATGCCTTTTTACGCCACCCTTCTGAGTCTTCTAAAATATGGTGCACACATACGCGTGGCCCATTTGCTGTTAGAAGTCACACCAATTAGAACGAGGCTTGGGTCAGCAATAAGGCCGGGTAGACTTTCGTGCTCCCGAAACGTTGCCCCCACCTCGGCTCGAGCTGTCCGCTCGGGTATGCCAGGTCTAGAACACAACCCCAGGTTTAAACCTAGAATTACATAACCTCATGTCGGATCCCTAGTATGAACGTTTGTTTGCATCACGTACATTTGACTTAAGGGACTCAACATAGGGGTTGGGTCCGTCTAGGATAGGTGTACCCAAAATAACAGACCATCATGATGCATCTTACGTGTTATGTGAAAATTTATTTGTTTTGACTTGCATTCTAACCGGCTAGGAAAAGAAAATCAAGAGAAAGACCAAGGGTGATGTAGGATGGAAATAAAACCCGATTCTGGAAAACTCGGTGTTTGAAAATGTCCCAAAGCTCTGCCAAAAATTTTTCAAAAAAAAATAAGAATAGAAGAAGAAAAGGAAAAAAAGAGACATTTCAAAATGAGTCATTCATATTTTTTCAATTATGTCAACACTGATCGAACTACGCAGGTCTGATTCTCACCGGATGTGGGATACGTAGGCAACCTACATAGGGTTCGGCCTCCTTTTGTTTGCAAAAATAACCAAACAAAATGAATTGTAGTTAGGGCTCTGGTCAAAAGAATAAACCGACCCAGCTTCGGTTATGTCTGAAGCCGTTCTTGCCAAGATAGCCTTAGAATATCTTTCAATGGTCGAAGGGCTATTTTTGTAGAGAACGGATAAGTCTGTCAGTGATGTGTCATTTTTTTGAAGTATCTTCCCCATGCCTCAAAATTTATTTTGAATTGTGAAGGGGCCACATTTACAAAAACAATCACTTTTGCTAAAAATAGTGTAGGGGGGAAGGGCCATTTTACTTCGATTTTTGTTTTTTCCTTTAGAGGTAATGAACTGGTTTTTGAAAAAGTTCACCAGAGTCAAACACAGGTACAAAATGAACACTGTCCAGAACCCGACACTATTGGTCATAGAACAGGCTTAGTTGCAGCTGCGTATGTGGTGGTACAATTTAGATGAAGATGGTCAGGTTTGGGTGAAAGAGCATTTGGGTGCCCTTACGGACATTACGGAAATCAAACCACGAGAGGATTTAATCAAGGCTTTTGTAACTTTTTGGGATCCTATGCACAACGTTTTTCATTTCTCGGATTTTGTGCTCACCCTACTCTGGAGGAAATAGCCGGATACATTCACTTTGGCAGAGACTTGAGAAAACAACAGCTTATATTCCCAAGGGTCCCCTCTGTGGACAAATTCTTTGATCTTCTGAATATCAGCAAGAAAATGAAGAAGGCCCATGTGAACAAAGGATGTTGTTCCTTTAACTTCTTGTATTCCGGGTTTGGGCACTCAGTTGGGTTTGAAACACACAAAAAGGGATTGAACAACAAACAGGACAAGAGCATTTGGAAAATTCATCGTAGGTTCGCTTTCATAGTGGCATTATTAGGGATTATAGTCTTTCTGAATGCAGAAGGGACAATAGATATTCGCATGGCCAGAATCGCACAAATCCTCACTACAAAAAAAGATCATACACTAGCTTCATTAGTGCTGGCAGACATTTATCGGGCATTGACATTGTGTAGATCCGGGGCTCAATTCTTTGAAGGCTATAATGTGCTTCTGCAAATGTGGTTGATCGAGCATCTCCGCCATCACCTAAATTCATGAGTTATGGTTCAAGTAAAGACAACTTCATCAAGAGTTATGAGGAAAGGGTGAAAGACTACAATTCTCCAGAAGGGTTTGAAGCCTGGGTCTCCCACTTAAGAACTCTAAAACCAAGTTAGATTGAATGGACTCTAGGATGTCTGCCGGTGATGGAAATCATACACATGACGGCCACAAAAGGCTACCTAATGTTAATGGGTTTAAGAAGTGTCCAGCCATACGCACTGCAGAGGGTTTTAAGGCAGTTGGGAAGATATCAGGTGGTGCCCAAAGATGAAGATTTAACTACTCAGGTCATTGAGCTACATCCAAAAGCTACATTGCCCGAGGCTTTAGTCCAGCAGGATTGGAACGGTTGCCGATATGTGAAAAATGGCACCTAGGTACCAGATATTGCGAGAGGGAAAGTTGATCTAGATTATGCCATATTGTTTGAGAGAAAGTCTTGTGCAAGTAATGAGCGAGAGCCCGAGCCCAAGCCCGAGAGACCCACAAAGAGACCGCATGTTCAGGCTTTTGATGAAAAACTCAGGGAAAGGTTGGCCTGGGGAGAGAAGGAGAAAATATATCAAGCCGCCATTCACACTCTGGAAGAGAAATTAAGAAACATTGAATTCAATAGTGATCTACAGGTGCAAGAAGCTGAGGGTGAAAGGAGAAGGTTGGTCCAAGAAAATAAAGCCCTCCGAGCTTAGATTCAGAGGATGAAGATCGCCGCTGAAAACTCGGCCAGAAGCAGACAAGATGAAAAACTCATAAATAGTCTTAGACGGAAAGTGTGTGATTACGGGGCCGACTTGGAAAAAGCTGTAGAGGAATTGGCTAAAACCCGAGCAAGATTGGCACAGAATGCAGAAGGGCGGGCAAAGTTTGTTCAACGGCTAAAGGAAAGGTATGATAGAGAAGTCATGTTCCTAAAGAAGAAGCTGACTACTCTTGAAAATGAGATGGACCAGCAAACAAAGAATTTCAAAGCAGAAAGGGAGCATTGCCATGCACTGATTGTCCAACTGTAAGAAAGCATGCAACAATTATAGGACCAAAACAACATAGGTGCCCAAGTGCTGGAAGCTCGGGCACAACAAATAGGGTGCCTACATTAGGAAAAAGGTGTCATCAGAACAAGGATTAAAGAAATAGCTGAATATGTCGCGATGAAATGTCACAAATGTGAGGACATGACTAGGTCGATGATTTTTGCTTCTGTGATGACATTCGTTCGCCAGGTGATGGCCGATTTGGACCGTCTTCAGCAGGATATTGCACAAAGGCCCGCGCAAAGACCGGATAATGTTCCGCAAGCTCCTAGGGCACCAATGGATGCTCTTATTTACTCTGACTTTCTGTTGGTTTTAAGTCTGTATTTCTTTTGTCGAGTCTGTTAGTTTATCTTATGTCTAGTTTGTTTTTCCTGTTTAGAGTCCATATGTCAGAATCATTGTAATAGAAAATCCAAAAAGATTTTATTTTAATAGAATATTGAAAACCCCAAAAAAAATTTCTTTCTTTATTTCATATTTATCCCATGAACTACGTAATGATCTGATTCATCGGACGTCATGATACGTAGGTAATTCCCATAGGATTCGATCATAACTATAAAATGAAAAGAGAGAAAACTGAGGGGAAAGGAAGAATAGCAAAATGAGAGAACAGAAGAGAGTGTAAAATAAAAGGGGAGCGACAAGAACCAAGTAAAGAAAGGCAAGAGTAAAAAAAAAAAAAGAGAAGAGAAAGTGCAAAGTGAGAAGAGTTAGTTAAGGCCGGGATGAAGCATGCAACCGTTCAAATACATAATAGAAGTAGTTAACTATTCAGGTGCATTGCATCCCCAACGTGCGGTTGCCTATCTGTTACACTCTTAAACACTAACAAGTTTGCTGTTGTTATTGAGAACAGGAAGGTGGTTAGTTTGTTTAGCATTCTGGCAAGTCACCCGTATAACACCAGGTCTAAACACAAGGCGATCATGGCTAGCAAAGAATTGGACGCAAGTGTTATTGACCCGCCGAAAGAGATTGAGGAATCTGAGTCTGGTTTGAAAGAAGGGGTACATAAGGTGAAGCACCAAATGGCCGAAATGTACCAGGCATGGATGAGGGGGCATCCTCCACCGTCATACCCCGCCAACCCTGCTTCCATCCCATCAGTAGCTCAATCTCAACAGCCGACCATTGTTGATCTATCCCCACAACACACACCAAGCTTCACCCCTTACCATCATTATCCCGGCACCTCTTCCCAAGCCATCCAAGCTCCACCAGCCAAAGCAACCACCCACCCTGCTCCGCCGGCTACCCCTATCTTCGTAGCACCTACGCCTACAACCCTCCATCGATCTTCCAGTGAGCCGGCATTCCAAGCCCAAGATAGCCAATAGTATGCTCCAGAGCCTACCTTCAAAGTCCTGCATCATTACTCTTACACTCCTCACTTTGAACTTCCTGTCGAAACTGAGAAGCCACCCAAAAAGATAGAGCAAGAGGAGATATTTAGGAAGGTAAAGAGTTTGGAACAGTCGCTGAGAAATATGCAAGGGTTAGGTGGCCAAGTGAGTGTGGCATATAAATATCTGTGCTTGTCTCATGATGTCCAGTTACCTGCCGAATTCAAAATGCCCAAGTTTGACTTGTACGACGGGCATGGGGACCTCGTGGCTCACTTAAGAGGATTCTGTAGCAAAATAAGGGGTGCCGGTGGGAAAGATGAATTGTTGATGGCATATTTTAGTCAAAGTCTGAGTGGTGCGGCATTGGACTGGTATAACCGCCAGGACAACAACAGGTGGTACACCTGGATGACTTGGCTCAGGCTTTAGCTCGGCATTTCCAGTACAACGTGGAGATTGTCCCTGATCGCCTATCCTTGATTAAGATAGAGAAAAAGCCCAATGAGAGCTTCAGGGAGTATGGTTTCCGGTGGAGAGAACAGGCGGCACGAGTCAACCCTCAAATGGAGGAAGCCAAAATGGTGGAGTACTTTCTTCAGGCCTTGGAGCCTACTTACTTTGGTCATTTGATCTTGGCCATATGTAAGTCTTTCAATGAAGTGGTAAATATGGGAGGAATGGTAGAGGAAGGACTCAAATCAAGTAAGATCATGAGTTACTCCGCCCTCAAAGAAACCACACAAGCAATTCAAAATGGCAACGGGGGTGTGTTAAGGAAAAAGAAGAAAGAAGATGTTGCTATGGTCATCTCAGGATCGTGGCATGGCCTAACGGTTTCACCACACCATTACACCCAGCCTCGACCCCAACCTCAAACCTACACTCAAACTTCATATAATCCACCCCAACACTACTTCCCACCACAGAACCCTCAATATTCAGTCAGACCTCTACAATACCACGTCCACCACGCACAGCAATATGCTCAACCCCCTCCTCACCCGCAATGGCGTGCACGAGCTCCACAGAATTCGTATCCCCCTCCAAAAATATATCGAAACCCTATTGGTCCAATCTTTCGACCCGGGCCAGAGTATAGAAAGGAAAGATTGCAGCGGAAGCAAACTTTCATCCCGCTTGGGGAGTCTTAGACAAGTTTGTTTCAGAGGTTGAGGCAGTTGGATGTTCTGAGGCTGATTGAGTCAAAATTACCAAATCCCCCTCCAAAGAACCTTGATTATTCCCTCAGATGTGCATATTGTTCTGATGCTCCAGGGAACGACACAGAAAAGTGTTTGCATTTGAAGAACGCCATCCAAGATCTAATCGATACAAACCAAATTGTGGTCCAGAGCCCGAAAACTCCAAACATCAATCAGAATCCCTTGCCAGCCCATGCTGAAACGCACATGATTGAGATAGTGTATAAGGGTGGGGAGCCCGAGAATCCTTCAAAGTCTGTCATGATGATCTGTGCCACTGATAGTAATTCAGTCAAAACTCCAGTTGTTACAAATGCAACATCCTCGACAGCTGAAGAGCTGAAGGACAAAATAAGCCCGCCCAATGTTAAGCCACCTGTATTTGTTGTGAAAGGGTTCCCATATGATGTTAAAGCGAAGCAAGGAAAGCCGAAAGTGGTGGTGCCGGGGTCAACAAGTAAGCCTATCATAATCGTGGAAGGGGCTCGTACCGACCCTATTATTATTAAACCTGTGACCCAACTGTCGGTAAATAACACCAAGGTTGTTCCATGGAATTACAAGCAAGTGATAGTAACCTATAAAGGGAAGGAAGTGGAAGAGGAAGTTAATGAAACCCGGGGGTTGACTCGTTCTGGGAGATGCATTAGCCTAGAGGAACTAAGGAAAGCTAAGCCACCCAAAGATAATCCGATTCTAGTAAAGAAGTCAGTCACCGAAGAGCAGGCGGAAAATTTTTTGAGAAAAATGAAGGTGTAGGATTACTCCATCGTAGAACAGTTGAGGAAGACACCCGCTCAGATTTCTCTTCTATCGTTGTTGATACATTCGGACGAGCACCGTCGGACCCTCATGAAAATTCTGAATGAAGCTCATGTCCTTGACAAGATCACAGTGAACAATTTGGAGAATATTGCCAACAAGATATTCGAGATAAAGAGAATCACCTTATCGGATGATGAGTTGCCTTTGGAGGGCACGGAACACAATCGGGCTCTTTATCTCACAGTGAAATGTGAAGATTCTGTGGTCACAAGGGTGCTAGTTGACAATGGTTCCAGTGCAAACATCTGCCCTCTCTCCACTCTGCACAAGTTGAACACTGATACTGAAAGGATCCACAAAAACAATATATGTGTCCGAGGTTTCAATGGAGGGGGAAAAGATTTTGTTGGCGATATCGTGCTCGAACTGATGATAGGACCAGTTGAATTTACCATGGAGTTTCAGGTACTAGATGTGGCCGTCTCCTACAATTTGCTATTGGGAAAGCCCTGGATATATGTTTCCAAAGCAGTCCCTTCTTCCCTGCACTAGATGGTAAAGTTCGAGTGGGACAGACAGGAGATCATCGTGCATGGTGATGAAAACTTATGTGCTTACAATGAAACCTTCATCCTGTTTATTCAAGCCGAAGATGATAAGGGGCCTTACGTCTACCAAGTTTCCGAAATAGTGTCAGTTAAGAAGATTCTGGAGGGGAAGTCTATTCCAGGTCCAAAGTTAGCCTCTGCATCCATCATGGTGGCATCTGAAATGGCGAAGAATGGTTTTGTGCTGGGCAAACGTCTGGGCGCATCTTTACAAGGTATTGTGCAACCAGTGTCTCTACCTAAATATCTGGGTATGTTTGGTCTAGGATTCAAGCCCACAAGGGACGATGTGAAGAGGGGTAAAAGGTCGGAAAAGAAAGCATGATAACTCCCTAAGCCTATCCCACGTCTCTCCAGGTCCTTCGTCAAGCCAGGGGTTGTGAAGCGCCTAGTGTCAGCAGTCTTAACATTGGAAGCATCCGGAGAACAATGGAATTCATTTCAAGTTCAAGCATCAGGCGCCCACCCGGAGAACAAGGGAATTCATTTCAAGTTCAAGCATCAGGCGCCCACCTGGAGAACAAGGGAATTTATTTAAAGTTCAAGCATCAGGAGCCTACCTGGAGAACAAGGGAATTCATTTCAAGTTTCAGCATTAGGCGCCCACCTGGAGAACAACGGGAATTAATTTCAAGTTTAAGCATCAGGCACCCACCAGAAGAACAAGGGAATTCATTTCAAGTTTCAGCATCAGGTGCCCACCTGGAGAACAACGGTAATTCATTTCAAGTTTAAGCATCAGGCACCCACATGGAGAACAAGGGAACACATTTCAAGTTTCAGCATCAGGCGCCGACCTGGAGAACAAGGGAATTCATTTCAAGTTTAAGCATCAGGGGCCCACTTGGAGAACAACGAAATTCATTTCAAGTCTAAGCATCAAGCGCCCTCCTGGAGAACAAGGCAATTCATTCCAAGTTCAAGCATCAGGCGCCCACCTGGAGAACAAAGGAAATTCATTTCATGTTTAAGCATCACGCGCCCACCTGGAGAACAAGGGAATTCATTTCAAGTTCAAGCATCAGGCGCCCACCCGGAGAATAAGGGAATTCATTTCAAGAACAAGGGAATTCATTTCATGTTCAAGCATCAGGCGCCCACCTGGAGAACAAGGGAATTCATTTCAAGTTTAAGCATCAGGCGCCCACCTTGAGAACAAGGGAATTCATTCCACGTTTCAGCATCAGGCGCCCAGCTGGAGAACAAGGGAAAATTACAAGTTTAAGCATCAGGTGCCCACTAGGAGAACAAGGGAATTCATTTCAAGTTTCAGCATCAGGCGCCCACCTGGAAAACAAGGGAATTCATTTCATGTTCAAGCATCAGGCGCCAACCTAGACAACAACGAGAATTCATTTCAAGTTTAAGCATCAGGCGCCCACTGGAGACAAAGGAATGCATTTCATGTTTCAGCATCATGCGCCCACCTGGAGATCAAGGGAATTTATTTCATGTTTCAGCATCAGGCGCCCACTAGGAGAACAAGGGAATTCATTTCAAGTTTCAGCATCAGGCGCCCACCTGGAGAACAAGGGAATTCATTTCATGTTTCAGCATCAGGCGCCCACCTGGAGAACAAGGGAATTCATTTCATGTTTCAGCATCAGGCGCCCACCTGGGGAACAAGGGAATTCATTTCAAGTTTCAGCATCAGGCGCCCACCTGGAGAAAAGGGGAATTCATTCAAAGTTTAAGCATCAGGCGCCCACCTGGAGAACAACGGGAATTCATTTCATGCTTAAGCATCCGGCGCCCATCTGGAGAACAAGGGAATTCATTTCAAGTTTAAGCATCAGGCGCCCACCTGGAGAACAACGGGAATTCATTTCATGCTTAAGCATCCGGCGCCCATCTGGAGAACAAGGGAGTTCATTTAGGGAATTCATTTCAAGTTTCAGCATCAGGCGCCCACCTGGAGAACAAGGCAATTCATTTCAAGTTTCAGCATCAGGCGCCCACCTGGACAACAACGGGAATTCATTTCAAGATTAAGCATCAGGCGCCCACCTGGAGACAAAGGAATGCATTTCAAGTTTCAGCATCAGGCGCCCACCTGGAGAACAAGGGAATTCATTTCAAGTTCAAGCATCAGGCGCCCACCTGGAGAACAAGGGAATTCATTTCTCAAGTTTAAGCATCAGGCCCCCACCTTGAGA